AAAGGAATGATGTGGTTGTTACAATAATTTTACATACTTTTTTTGTTTGAAAATATTAAAAGAGAGTTTTCCAATATCAACAGACCAGACATCAACGCCACTTTTTGCTGATTAATAGCAAAAGAGAAAATGGATAGTAGAAGATGTAGCGTAGCATGCGATGGTTCAAGGAAGTTGGTAGAAAGAATAGAATCAACAGCGTGGAAAGGGCAAGGACAAAGATTAAGCCCATGATCAAAATAACATAAGAAAGCCAATTAAGGTTGCTCACCACTAGATAAACACCTGTCATGAATGAGATTGCGACCATCGTAAGAGCTCCTCCGAACAATGGCGAAGCCAATTTCAAGGAAACACGAACGAGATTAAGATCTCCCAACTGTGCCCATATGAGCAAAACAGCAACAATAATGGAACTACACATAGCTACAGCATTAGCGATCACGAATACTTGAAATTCAAACTTTTTTACCATAAGTGCCATGCCCTTGTGAGTTCTAGAGTCGTCATATCCACCTGGAACAGTGATACCAGCCGCAAAGGTCACAATGATAATAATTGTTGCCACCAACAGGAGAGTGTTAATCCTATCCTTGTAGGTCTCGACATTTGAATTTTTTTTAGTTTTGCTGGTCTTTGGCTGCGGAGCTCGTGGTGCACTAGCATGTCTCAAGGCTATCCATGTTAGCCGCTGCAACATTGGAGAGGGTTAGTTTCAACTCATGTGATCACTCAACAAAGATAACATGAAAAATTCAAAATAACTAGTTTAGTTCAATATCATATGGAAAGTTTGTTATTAAAGTGGAAATAGAATTGAGAAAAGTTAGGGATCATGAAAAATTTTTCATGAAAATGATCATGAAAAATTTATGATCCTTAGATTACCTTGATTAGTGTGTGGTGCTTTATTCTAAATGTAATCCGAGGATCACAAAGCTTTCATGAAAAAATTTTCATGATACCTTGCATTGCTGAATAGAATTTCAGGTGAGTCAAGAACCTTGAGATGTTTAAGTGGATAAAGATAAAGTTCCTAAATAAGAGGATGTGAAAATTTAAGCCCAAGTGAAACAATGAGGAAAGTAAGGCCCATAAGAGTATAAAGCCTAACCAAAATTCTTGTGACAAAAATTAAACAACAAAAATCTGAGAACATATGGAAATTAAGCCGATGTGGTATTAGAGTGTTTTTGACCATATATTGAGTGTGAAATAAAAAGGCAGCAAAACCTAGAGAAGCAAAGTTTGGGATGGAATAAATAAAGAAAGCAAGATTTGAAAATGAAAAAAGAAAAAAAAAATAAATAAATAAGAAGGGGGGGGGGGGTATTTTGTGTCTAGCAACATTGGAGAAAAAATAATAATTTTTTATTGATTCATTGCATATTAAATTTACAATTTTCGAATGTCGAAACTCACATAAGGATACAATTTATAGTTGTATGGTATTAGAAGTCCTCAGAGATATAAATAATAAAAAGAGAAAAATTAATTTAAAAAAACATTGAGGATATTGAAGAAGGCAATATATATATAACTTTGGAAGCATTTGGAAGGTATAAAATCTCCAGGTTGGGCATGGACAAAACTTAAAATTGTTTTTCAAATTGGAGGCAATCTTTATCTAATAGGTTACAAGATTTAGATGAATTCAAAATGAACAGGTTGAATAAAAGTTCACAAAAAATAAAAAGAAGAAGAAAATTATATGGAGGAAAATGTTGAAGGTGTATGTGTGGGGAAAAAATCTGTCACACTGGTTGAAGTGACAATAAATGGAATCCACTCCCTTAACTCTCTTTCACTTGTAACAAAGACAGTGAGTCCTTGCCGACTAGGGTATTCAATTTGGGGCATTATAATACTTAGTAGATTATCAGCACTGTTGGAGACCCCAGTGGGGGTGACCCCCAGTACCCCCACCTCCTCGTGGGGGGCTGTAAGTGCAAGCCTTCAAAAAAAATAAAATAAAATAAAATTTTGCACCAATCAAAAAACAGTGGGAGTGGTGGGAGTCACCCCCACTCGGGTCTGAAGGATTATTCGTAGATTATTGGTGCAAACTCTTAAAATAACAGCATGAATGCTCAAGAATATGGCGTACTTTTTTCCTTAGGCTGAATTTCCTTTCTTGTGTTAGTTGAATTAGCCATTGAGAGAAGGGTTCTGCAAAATATCATTTAGTAAATCGATCGCACCCGCTATAGTTAGTATATTCGATCACACCCGCTATAGTTAGTATATATATATATATATTACTTTCAATAAAATATTAAAGAAAAAAATTACTGTGAGAAAATCTAAGATGTGAAATTTAGTGCAAATTAGTGTTATATATACAAAATAATATTATGTAAAATCAATTAGTATTATATATAAAAAAAAAATATTATGTAAAAACAATTAGTATTATATATATAAAAATATATATATTATGTAAATTAATATTATATATTGTACAAATGTTTGATAATTGTTTAAGATCATTCTTCAATTAACTAATAGGTTGAAACTGTCAAACCTCCCAAACAACAATTTGGTTACGAATATTAAATTTGCCAATATGTTATCCACGGTTTGATTTTTATTTTTTTCTCAAATCATACACTACAAGAAAATTCACTTTTGACAATTAAAGTTTTAGTCGCCAAAAGTAGGGTTTTTAGTCCCCAAAAGTAAGGTTTTTAGTCACCGAAACCTTTTCCCGACTAAATATTTTGGTCGCTAGATTTGACGCGGAAAACGGTCGGGGAAGGTTTTGGCGACTAAAAAAAATTTAGCCGCCAAAAGTCATATAAATGGCTACTAATGTTTTAGTAGGGAAAAGTGCGAGGTATTGGTGACTAAATATTTTTTAGTAGCCAAAAGTCATAAATTGGCGACTAAATATTTAGTCGCCAAAAGTTTTCAAATAAAATTAATTTTCATTTTCAACAACTAAAACTTTTAGTCGCCCAAAGTATCATTTATTATTGGCTACTAAATATTTAGTTGCCAAAAACAATTAATTTTCATATTTTTTTTTTAGCTACTAAACTATTTAGTCACCTAAAGTCTCATACATTTTTTACTACTAAATTTTTAGTGGCAAAAAAATCTTTGGTTTGCTTTTGGCTACTAAATTTTTAGTAGCCAACAAGTTTTATTTTGATTTTTTGGCTACTAAACATTTAGTTACCAAAAACTTTATTTACTGTTATTTTTTTATTATTATTATTATTAATTTCTGCACAACCTATATTTATTTCGTGCAACCTGCACCCAGTATATAAACAAAACAATACATATGTCTATTTCTATTTCACTTTCAACCATCCAAAAATTTGGTCTTGTAACATCAAATTCTATACAAACCAAATATAATCCAACCCAAAATAATAATTCCATACAAACAGATAATCATACAAAAATGATGTCCTCCGTATACAAAAAAGAAATATCCACTAGTAATCTATACTACCAGAAAATAACTTCATCTCTGTTGGATCAACAGCTATTGCAGTAATTGGTAATGGAAAAGCTCGAGTTTGTAAAAGTCTTCCAGTAACAAGGTCCCATACTTATAATACGAAAATAAGTCATTTCGAGAAACAAAAATACTCATGCTAGGAAGATATTGTTATGAAACATTTAACATAATTAAGTAACCTTGCATGTGTCATCAAGGGAGCTTGATAAAAAAATTGAACTTGAGCTTGATAAAACATTTAACAAAAATACTCATGCTAGGAAGACATTATAAAGGGCTTTTTCTTTGTCAATACTTGGACTGGACTTTTTCATTAATATAATCATGACATTTAGCTAACCAGTTGTTTTAGACCATCGCATCATGTTTTGGATGAGAAGAAGAAAATCAACCAGGACACGAGGGGGGAAAAACAGCAAGAACATGAAACACTTGTTATCGATTTCAACACATTTTTCACAGTTGTCCCCATAATTTTTATAAATATCATTAACACATCATTTTGGATATATTTTCTATTTAAACTGTCTGTTTTTAAAATACCCACAAAGTATGGGATACTTGTAAACAGGGAATCATCTCAATTCACCCTCAATTAATCCAGACAAACACTACAATTAGATATTCGACATGCACTGAGAAAATTTGTAAACATTAACACAATATTCACAGAATGAGAAGATGAAGTGACACATTTTCCCTCATTTATCACTAACATTTATATGATCCTAGCATTCCTTGTTTTGTATTGGCATTTGTAACCATGCAATATTACAAGTTGCGTTTTCTCAACCTATGGGTCCGAATAACATTCCGCTAGTTGTCACAAGTCATATTTGGCATGGGGAAGCTGTTCGTGTCGGCCACAATGCGGATCAAGGGCTGTTTTGAATTTTCACCTCCGAAACGCCGTTTTTCGACTAAGTTTTGGGCGTATTTGTCTCTAAATCCCAACCTACGGGTCCGAATAACATTCCGTCATTTGTCACAAGTCCTATTTGGCATGGGGAAGGTGTTTGTGCCGGCCACACGGCGGTTTGGGGGCTGTTTTTAATTTTCGCCCCCGAAACGCCCTTTTTCGACTAAGTTTTGGCGTATTCGTCTCTAAATCCCAACCTATGGGTCCGAATAACATTCCATCATTTGTCACAAGTCCTATTTGGCATGGGGAAGGTATTCGTGTCAGCCACTCGGCGGTTCGGGGGTTGTTTTCAATTTTCGCCCCCGAAACGTCCTTTTTCGACTAAGTTTTGGCGTATTTGTCTCTAAATCCCAACCTATGGGTCCAAATAACATTCTATCATTTTTCACAAGTCCTATTTGGCATGGGGAAGGTGTTCGTGTCGGCCACACGGCGGTTTAGGGGCTGTTTTCAATTTTCGCCCCCGAAAAACCCTTTTTCGACTAAGTTTTGGCGTATTCGTCTCTAAATCCCAACCTATGGGTCCGAATAACATTTTGTCATTTGTCACAAGTCCTATTTGGCATGGGGAAGGTGCTCGTGTCGGCTACATGGCAGTTCAGGAGCTGTTTTGAATTTTCGCCCCCGAAACGCCCTTTTTCGACTAAGTTTAGGGCGTATTCGGCTCTAACTCCCAACCTACGGATCCGAATTACGTTCCGTCAGCTCTCACAAGTCCTATTTGTCATCGGGGAACTGTCCGTGTGAGACATACGGTGGTTCAGGGACTGTTATGAAGTTTTGCCCACAGAAAGTCCTTTTTCGACTAAGTTTATGGCGTACTCGACTCTAAATCCCAACCTATGGGTCCGACTAACATTCCGTCAGTTGTCACAAGTCATATTTGGCATGGGGAAGCTGTTCGTGCTGGCCACACGACGGTTCGGGGGCTGTTTTGAGTTTTCGCCCCCGAAACACCGTTTTTCCACTAAGTTTTGGGTATATTCGGCTCCAAATCCCAACCTACGGGTCCGAATAACATTCCGTCAGTTGTCACAAGTCATATTTGGCATGGGGAAGCTGTTCGTGTTGGCCACACGATGGTTCGGGGGCTGTTTTGAATTTTCGCCCCCGAAACGCCATCTTTCGACTAAGTTTTTGGCGTATTCAGCTCCAAATCTCAACCTACGGGTCCGAATAACATTCCGTCAGTTGTCACAAGTCATATTTGGCATGGGGAAGCTGTTCGTGTCGGCCACAATGCGGATCAAGGGCTGTTTTGAATTTTCGCCCCTGAAACGCTGTTTTTCGGCTAAGTTTTGGGCGTATTCGTCTCTAAATCCCAACTTACAGGTCCAAATAACATTCCATCATTTGTCACAAGTCCTATTTGGCATGGGGAAGGTGTTCGTGCCGGCCACACGGTGGTTCGGGGACTGTTTTCAATTTTCGCCCCCGAAACGCCCTTTTTCGACTAAGTTTTGGCGTATTAGTCTCTAAATCACAACCTATGGGTCCGAATAACATTACGTCATTTGTCACAAGTCCTATTTGGCATGGGGAAGGTGTTCATGTCAGCCACACGGCGGTTCGGGGGCTGTTTTCAATTTTCGCCCCCGAAACGCCCTTTTTCGACTAAGTTTTGGCGTATTCGTCTCTAAATCCCAACCTATGGGTCCGAATAACATTCTGTCATTTGTCACAAGTCTTATTTGGCATGGGGAAAGTGTTCGTGTTGGCCACATGGCTGTTCGGGGGCTGTTTTGAATTTTCATCCCCGAAACGTCTTTTTTCGACTAAGTTTAGTGCGTATTTGGCTCTAACTCCCAACCTACGGATCCGAATTACATTCCGTCAGTTTTTACAAGTCCTATTTGTCATGGGAGAACTGTCCATGTGAGCCACACGGTGGTTCGGGGACTATTATGAATTTTTGCCCACGGAAAGTCCTTTTTCGACTAAGTTTATGGCATATTCGGCTCTAAATCCTAACCTACGGGTCCGAATAACATTCCGTTAGTTGTCACAAGTCATATTTGGCATGGGAAAGCTGTTCGTGTTGGCCACATGATGGTTCGGGGGATGTTTTGAATTTTCGCCCCCAAAACGTCATTTTTCTACTAAGTTTTGGGCGTATTCGGCTCCAAATCCCAACCTACGGGTCCGAATAACATTCCGTCTATTGTCACAAGTCATATTTGGTATGGGGAAGCTGTTCGTGTCGGCCACACGACGGTTCGGGGGCTGTTTTGAATTTTCGCCCCTGAAACGCCCTTTTTCGACTAAGTTTTAGGCATATTCGGCTCCAAATCCCAACCTACGGGTCTGAATAACATTCCGTTAGTTGTTACAAGTCATATTTGGTATGGGGAAGCTGCCCGTGTCAGCCACATGGCGGTTCGGGGGATGTTTTGATTTTTTGCCCCCGAAACGCCCTTTTTCGACTAAGTTTAGGGGGTATTCGGCTCTAACTCCCAACTTACGGGTCCGAATTACATTCCGTCAGATCTCACAAGTCCTATTTGTCATGGCAAAGCTATCCGTGTGAGCCACCCGGTCGTTCGGGGGCTGTTTTGTATTTTCACCCCCGAAACGCCCTTTTTCGATCAAGTTTTGGACGTATTCAACTCTAACTCTCTGCCTACGAGTCCGAATTACGTTCCGTCAGTTGTCACAAGTCCTATTTGTCATGGAAAAGCTATCCGTGTAAGCCACACGGTCGTTTGGGGGCTGTTTTGATTTTTTGCCTCCGAAACGCCCTTTTTCGACTAAGTTTAAGGCATATTCGGCTCTAACTTCCAACCTACAGGTCCGAATTATATTCCGTTAGTTGTCACAGGTCCTATTTGTCAAGGGGAAGCTGTCTGTGAGAGCCACACGGTGGTTCGGGGGCTGTTTCGAATTTTCACCCTCGGAACGTCCTTTTTCGACTAAGTTTAGTGTGTATTCGGCTCTAACTCCCTACCTATGGGTCCGAATTACATTTCATCAGTTGTCACAAATCCTATTTGTCATGGGGAAGCTGTCTTTGAGAGTCACACGATGGTTCGGTGGCTGTTTTGAATTTTTGCCCCTGAAACGCCCTTTTTCGACTACACAAATCCAATTTATTATCCTTTTAAGGCAGCAACTAAAAGATATAATTGGGAAAATAGAAAGAAAAAGAAAACTAAATCTATCAATTGAAATAAAAATAACAATAAAAAAAGAAACATAATATCATTCATGGCTAAATAAATTAGAGCCTAACAAACAATTTGAACAATGGCATGATAGGGCATGATGAGGTTGTCAATCGAAAGAAAAATGTTGATTCAATCGATGTCATAGCTTCCTCTGCAGTCTGCACATATTCCAAGAACTTCAGTCCTAAGATCATTCTATTAACAATGACAATAGACAAAGCACATGCAGATATAGTTACAAAAGCCAAGATTTCCTGAAATCAATTCATGTAGAGTGACACCTTATAATAAGAAATAAGACCTATGATATTGTGGGACACTAACTGAAATTGAATTGTTATGAATTAACAAGGGCAGCAAGTAACAGTATGAGCACAAGTTGAATAAGAGATAAAACTAGATTTAGACAAAATAGAAATATCATACCATACCCATGATCATAACCCTTCTAACTTCTAAGTTTGACTAGTACCAAATGAAACATTTTAGTAAACCATAAATTGTTGTGCTATGAAGTACCTAAACTTAGTTGAGAATTAATTGTTGTGCTATGAAGTACCATTTTAGTAAACATTTTATTAAAACATTTATGTCTTAATCATTTGCAAGTTGCAACGAGCATAATGGGGGGAACTTCCTAAACTCTATATACAGTGGCAGGATAGGGAATTAATTCAGTCTATCCATTACAATGAAATGAGTAACAGTGGTAAAAAGAAAAAAGCAAAGAAGAGTAATATACTAACCACCACAGGTTCCCTTGGATCAATAAATTCTACAGAGGCAGGACCCATTGGTGACCGAATCTCCAATGAACAACTGTGAGCAGGTATATTTTGAACCCGGAATGGAATGAAGAATTTAATTTGGTCATTAAAGACCCCAAATCTCAAGCTTTGGAGATCCATGTAAATGACTGGGAGCAGGTATATTTTGCACTATTTTTTTTTTCAGATTTATTATCAAATATCAAGTGATTCTGTTTGTTTTCTGCTTCAACTTGTGTTGGAGGACACAGAGAGGGGTGGGCAAGGGCCACGACCCACTCAGATTTCACAAAATCTTGATTAGCCCCTTGCATTTTTAAGTATTCACAAGTGAAATTAGTATTTGGCCGTCCCAAAATCTATATAAATTTACTTCGGCGCTCTTAAAAATCACAAAAACTTCATTAGCCTATGTAATTTTGAGTATTTATAAAAGAAAATAGCATTTTCAAAATTAAAAACTATACCAGTTTAGTCCCCATTACATGATTACTCTACAATGTTTACATTAGTAGATCACAAGTTTCAGCCCAAAACAGTCCATCTAATATTTGCCTTACTCTTGTGGCTTGTAATTTGACAACCATTGTTGATAATAAGTTGTGTAATTTTACCCCATGAAAGATGCATCCATTTCTAGGGCTTAAATAGCCTCTGATCATTCAATTCACATTAGCTAAACCATCTTCTACCAAATTTTTTGTTGTGGTTGTTGCATGTTTTCAAAATTTATGCAATGAAGATGTGCCTAAGCGCCCCCACCCTCTGGATGAAGAATCAAATAAAAATCTAAAGATAAAGAAAAATTGAAGTGAAGGGAACTATATTAATTAATTTAGTATACCTGAACAAAACCATACAGGCCAGGAATGGACATAGCATCTGCTCCTAGCACTTTCAAACCAAAGTCCACATGTGGCTGCAAATTCATAGAGAGAGAGAGAGAGAGAGAGAAACTTTGCAAGAAGGTTAATCTTTTGGCTAGGATTGATGCCATCTCCATCATATAGTGGGCACCAAAGCTCTAAATGGTGCATATATAGGAATATACAATACACATCTGATGAGCATATGCAGTCCCTAAAACTCTGATGATAAACCAAAATATTCCTAATCAAACATATCGTTAATTAAAGTTACCTTTGGTCATTACCACGCACCTTCTTCATGAGAGAGACTAATATTGTGGCAAAACAAGGAAAGCTTGGAACCAATGGCTTCAGGCTACAATTGATATTAAGGAGAACTACAATTGATATTAAGGAAAGTTCTCCACACAGATAAACCTTATCCCTATAAATCAATGGCCACATTTTCAGAGTTATGCATTAGCTCTGCCAAAATACTAATTTTACCAATGTCTTTATATAGTGTATCATAAAATAAGGAGCACCAAGGGGCTGCAACCCATATACAAAAGTCCATAAGACCTATCTCATCTATACATTCAAATTACTTAAACTCTTCAACAAAATCTAAAAATCAGTTCAAGGATGGATCAAATTTCCTTGAGAACCAACTATACAAAAATGATAATAATCCACTTTTCACTTTTCAAAACTCACCAAATAGCATTTTGAGCTCCAAGAATGATAGACCTAAACCTTCAACTGATGGTCTTGAAGTGCACATTTTGTTCATCTAATGAAATTAAAATGAACCAAGCAATACATACAGAAAAGAGAGAGAGAGAGAGAGAGAGAGAGAGAGCATTGACTAAGTTGCTAGGATGCATATATTCCAAGATAACAAATAGCTTTGGCTAGATTCTTTGAGTAACACTTATATTAACTATTCATGCATTTCTTTTCTTGTAACTCTTATGTGGTAAATATATAGGAGAAGAGACATATACAATCAAATGTTAACAACCACATTCCAACTATTCTCAAATGAACTTGTTATAAACAGGCTACAATTGATATTAAAGAAAGTTCTCCACACAGATAAACGTTATCCCTATAAATCAATGGCCACATTTTCAGAGTTATGCATTAGCTCTGCCAAAATACTAATTTTACCAATGTCTTTATATAGTGTATCATAAAATAAGGAGCACCAAGGGGCTGCAACCCATATACAAAAGTCCATAAGACCTATCTCATCTATACATTCAAATTACTTAAACTCTTCAACAAAATCTAAAAATCAGTTCAAGGATGGATCAAATTTCCTTGAGAACCAACTATACGAAAATGATAATAATCCACTTTTCACTTTTCAAAACTCACCAAATAGCATTTTGAGCTCCAAGAATGATAGACCTAAACCTTCAACTGATGGTCTTGAAGTGCACATTTTGTTCATCTAATGAAATTAAAATGAACCAAGCAATACATACCAAAACAAAATTAAAAATTTAATGTAATAAACTTGGATTCAAATGTCCAGAGTATATTAAGGGAGCCATAATTTTGAGTGACCAATCAACTTTCTATGACAATAGACTATTATACACGTGTATAGATAAGTATAAAATAGATGGGTGTGTTACATGGAAGAGGAAACACATGAGATTTCCCAAACCAGCACAATGAATATAGTTCCTGAATTTGGGATTTCCCAATCCCCAATCATGTCCCAAATTCTTGCTTAATCCAGCTTGAATTTGGGATTTCTGTGTAAAAATCAACACCAACCCTACACCAAATGTGGGAAATCAACACAACATCAACTCAAATTAAACAACAAAAATCATATAAAACCCTAGGGCAAGTGTAAGATGGGGAAATAGAGGAAGGAAGACAGAGAGAGAGAGAGAGAGCTCCATCGACAGATAGGGATAGACACTGAGAGCGACAGAGAGGGAGAGAGACCGAGAGCGATAGAGCGAGAGAAACATACCTCAATTTTTTAAAGTGACATTGCTATGCCTTTGACAGGATCAATGTCGCTTATCGGTGATTTTCTTAGAAGATATGACAATAAACCCACACTTTGTGGGCTCAACTTTGACTTAGGCTTGGCCATTCAATCAGAAGTAGAGATGGCCATGGAGTGGGTTTGGAGCGAGTTTGTCATTCTCCACTTCTGCCTTTGCCGACAAACTCCACTCTCGCCCCTGCCCCACCCCCTTCACCGGTGAAATTTTTCAACCCCACGCCCACCCCTACAGATACCCTATACTCATGGATATCCGACCACATTTTAAATAGTCAAAAAAATTAAAAATTATTTAAATTCTTAGTACATTAATTAAGTTTTTTATTTTCATATATGTAAATAGTGAGACTTTTAAGATTATTATTTATTTATATTTAAACAAAATTATAAACTTTTAATATTGTTTTCTTATATCTAAATATATATATTATTTATTTATATATTATTAATTATATCAGGTTATGTTTTGATCGGAGAAAGCGATATCTGCTCCCGTTCCATCCCCATTGCAGGTGACTAAAACATAATCTACCACCGCCCCACAAAAGTATTGGGACCGGTAAAATCTACCCCATTTGAATGGGTATGAGTGAGCCCCGTGAATCGAATTTAAATGGCATCCCTAATCAGCATACTTGTCTAGACGCTTGACCGAATGCATTGTTTGGTCATTTGGCTGCGCTGAATAACATTCCATAAATGCCCTCCAACTCTGACTTGCCATTTGTTTCCAAACCACTATTGTAATTTTTATGATGCGTCATATATTATTCGAGCCTTTGTTTGCACTTCGAATGTTATAACCGAGCATCCAAGCGTTTGCTTGGACTTCAAATGTTTTTGAGTCGTTTGAAGATGCCTCTTTAATATTTGCCCTTTCAAGTGATGCCTTTTTGACTGTCTCACCACGCGGCAACACAACATTGGCTTGCAATTTTCATTTTCCCTAAAACGATGCATCCCATCAATTGGGCTGCCAAATGAGACCATAATTTCTCAAGGTATATATTTGACTTTTGGTTATTTTCTTCTTTGACGTTCCATTGTATTTATGTCTAGCAACCGCAGCGTAGAATTGCCTTCCACAGCATAGAAGAGAAAAAGTTGAAGAAAAAAAAAGAGTTTGAACTCTGAACATGAAGAGGTGTTCATAAACTTGGCACTACCCATGTCTAACCTTAACGGAGAGTGACGGTACCAATTACTTTGTTTGGAATGAAAATAATAGTGGCTGTGAAGCTACAAACCAAAGTGAGGAACTGAGATTCTCTCTAATAATTATTTTCACAATAATATTGCAATGGCAATTTAGGTAAGTGGCTTAAGTTCAAAACAAAGCCAGCGGCGTTTAAATAGATGGTTTAATGTGGATAACACATGAATTAGTCGAGATGCACGTAAATTGGTCAAAAACTCCTAAGTTATTAAAAAAAATAACAATAATAAATAAATAAATAAAAATGGTTTAACATAGATAACACAACATAGATTTGTGTAAAAACAATTCAATAATAGGGAACCCTTGCAGGGACTTAAGGTAAAATTTGAACATGACACTTTTTGACATTTACATATTATTTTTCATCAAAAAATAATTTTCTTTTTCTTTTTATATGAAAAATTACTAATTAAATTTGCATTATCAAAGTTTTCAAACATAATTTTTTCAATTGATAAAATTCGTAATCCACTTATATTTTTGTGATATAATCAACGTTAAAATAGTAATTTTTTAAATTTTAATTTTGAATTTTTTTTTTTTTTGTAGAAAAAATAGTTACAAGTATTGTTAATAATATTTTGTAAGTATCTATTCTCCTATTCATAAAACAAAAAAATAAAAAATTTAATTCAAAAACATATAAATTATAAATATAATGAAATTATCATGTTTTAAAAACTTTATAAGATTAATATATTGTAAAAATTGCCATCCCCCAGTGATTTTAAATTTCAAAACTAAATTAAAAATTAAAAGAATAAACAGGGAAGAGACTAGAGATTTTCAAGACAAATATTTAAAAAGCATGAGTAATACTGTATACCTTGAATTATTATTGAGAATTTTAACCGAAAATATCAATGTGTGATCTAATTCATTTTATATGTGACTCTCACAATTCACTAATTCAATCTCAACCACACATTTAGGGCTGGTTTGGGGTATTCTAAAAAAGTGCACTTTTTGTCTTTTTGGACTAAAAAAGTTGAGAAAAAAATATGGAGGTTTGGGTTAACTTTTTAGCTTTTTATGAAAAAATGTGTATTAAAATATTGTATAAAAAAAGTGTGTAAGAGATGATTAGTGAGAGGTGGGCCTAGCCGTACAACCGGCTGAGTGAATTGGCTATGGAAATTATTGCCTAATTTTTGTACAAAGCATTGGACGGTTTTGTTTGGCCTGTGGGGGTCATCACAAGTCTCATTTTAATAATCTGAACCGTTCAATGTGTGTAACTCGTCGAACACTATGTATCTATAAAAAATCACATTAATTGGATATCGATAGCTATCTGATCAGACTTATTTATATTTCAATCATTAATTATAACACCATCCATTTGTTGTACATAACTGATTTGATCATATAGTTATCGATATCCAATCAATGTGATTTTTTCCAGACATATAGTACTCGACGAGTTCTACACATTTAACGGTTCAGATTATCAAAACGGAATCTGTGATAGGCCCCACAGGCCGAACAGCGATGTGTGTGCAAATCACACCCAATCCTTTCATTTGGGTGCACTGCCGCTGCACAGCAACTGGCTTGTTGTCAATTCGGTGTGTACTTGGGCAGAAAAAAATTAATTAATTTTTTTTTTTGTGAATAGTGATATCTTTTTGGATTTTGAAGTAACTTTTTGACTTTTTAGCTTATATAGTATAAGCCAAACCATGCCTTATATTTTATGTTTTTTTGATAGAATTTCTAAATAACTAGTTTTGTTGGAACAAATATAAACGTTGTCCTATGGGAATTGTTAAAGAAACTTGAGATGGCTATACCAATATTTACAAAATATTTGCTGTAAATAATCCACAATCTTTTTAAATTTTCTTACTCAATATTAAAATACTCATTAATAAAATCTAAAAATATATACACATTACAAAAAAAATAAATAACTAAATAAATTACGCGTCTTCGATTTATGGCAATGGTTAACACTTGGGCCGAGGTTTAGCAACAGTAAAAACTATTTTAAAAAGGTATGGGAATTCTAAAACGGCATCATAGTTTTCAAATAGTCACATAATGAATTGTACAAAAGGTCCTAATGTAGGAAAACGCGTCAAAAACAAAAGTAAACATTAAAATCAAACCACAAACAAATCCGAATTAGAAATACTCTCTCTACAAATGAATAATATTGAGAAAACTCTCTATTTTTATTAATCAAATATCAACCATATTTCCCTAAGATTTACATCTTTATTTATACTAAAATAATTCTTACTAATCAAGAAATCTAAAAAAGGAAAAGAAATATTCTTGCTAGTCAAGAATATTTTAAAAGGAAAATACAAAATTATCAAAAATAATTCTTGTGATCAAATAATCATATTCTTGTAAAATAAGAAAATAAACGAAGTAGGAAACTTAAATAAATTAATTAAGCAAAAGATCCTAGTCTAATAAAATAAAATATATAGTTTTTAAATTTCAATCTGCATCAATTGATGCAGGGAAGTGGAGCAAACAACAAGATCAAACCACGGACAAATCCGAACTACAAATACGCTCTCTATGAATGAATAATATTGAGAAAACTATCTATTTTTATTAATCAAATATCAACCATATTGTCCCAAGGCTTACATCTTTATTTTTGCTAAAATAATTCTTGCTAATCAAGAAATTTGAAAAAGCAAAAGATATATTCTTGCTAGTCAAGAATATTTTAAAAGGAAAATACAATATTAAAAATAAAAATAATTCTTGTGATCAAACAATCCTACTCTTGTAAAATAAGAAAATAAATGAAGTAGGAAACTTTAATAAATAAAAAAAAATTAAATGATCATAGTCTTAAATAATAATCTTAATCAAATACTAAAGTAATAAAATAAATAATACATATTTTTTATATTTTAACTAGTGAGAAATGAAGGAAATGATTGGAGTTACTCTAAGGCCTCGTTTGGGAACATACTAATTTAGTAACTTTTTGGCTATTTAGCTAAAATATAAGCTAAAAAAAAACTAGTATGTTTGGGATGATTTTTTGACTTTTTACGAAAAGATGTGCAAAAAGTAGAGAGAAAAGAGAATCTTAAAAAGGGATTAATATTTTGGAATAATGAAAAATGGAATAAGAGACAAATATTTTGAGACGGAGAGAGTATTATATGATTAATGATTTATCCACACAATTTTTCCATCTTAATTTGCCCAAATGAGACTCTTACCAATAAGAGTTTCAATTGTGTGAATTTAAACTATAAAAATTGTGTAGATGTAGCCGGTGTATTATAATAATAATAATTATTATTATTATAATACACCGGCTACATCTACACAATTTTTATAGTTTAAATTCACACAATTGAAACTCTTATTGGTAAGAGTCTCATTTGGGCAAATTAAGATGGAAAAATTGTGTGGATAAATCATTAATCATATAATACTCTCTCCGTCTCAAAATATTTGTCTCTTATTCCATTTTTCATTATTCCAAAATATTAATCCCTTTTTCAAAAATTAAGAAATAAAATAATATGAATTTATTATTTTGCTCTTCTTTCAAATTTATTAAAAACACAAAAAATACAATTATAACAATTGATATTTCAAAAAATATACTATCAAATGTATAATTTTAAAAAATTAATATTTTTAAACAGTAATAATTGTACTATTAAAATAAGTTAAATTCTCAAAATGTACTATTATTAAAATAAGTTAAATTCTCAAAATATACTATTATTTTGGAACTGAAGGAGTAATAGTAATAATACCTCGGGAATTGAGCGACTGGTCCCCTCGTAATCGAAAGCAGCATCTAAAGCGGTAAAGCCTTCGCCATTCTCTATCTCTAACCAAACTCTCTTGTCCCAGGTCAAAATGCTCACTATCTCAGAATGAGCATTCTTTGTGGCCAAAAGCAATGGGGTGTTTCCATCTTGGTCTGTGTCATTGATAAGCATCTCAAGCTCAGGGGCTTTAAGTATATAACTAACAATGTTGGCTTTCCCACTCTTAGCAGCAACGTGA